CAAAAACCTATCAAATGTGGTCTCTATTTATAGATAATGAAAAATTATGAATTTTGGTATTTTTATTTTATTTTTTTAATATAAATAATTAATGATGTTTTAATTTATGTAATATGTCTCATTTTTCAATTAAAAAAAGAAAAATAGGAATGTGCACTGCACTCTCTTAATTTTCTAGTTTTGGAGGGTGAGGGGCGCGTGCAAATGTGCCCTGACACACGATAGTACTACTGACAAACTCCAAATTTTGCTTAAAACCAACCCAAAAATTTACTATGTTCTTTAGTGTAGTTACCTAGAATATAACAAATCTATGGGCTAAGAGAACCCAATATAAGAGATTTTTTTTCTTTTTTTTTTAACTGCAAATGGCAAAGTACAAAGTTGAAATACATTTTTTTTTTTCACTTAGAAAAAAAAAAGAATTTTCTAAAAAGATCTCATCAACTCAGACAAGTGCAGACGTAGACTTCAAGGACAACGGGGCAACAAACTATGGTCACAGTCAATGTTGGAGGTCAACGGTTAAATCTGTATTTAACCAATTAAAAATAAAAATAAAAAGATTAAATATTGACCAAACACCTTATTTTTTGTTAATAGCTAGGATTGAGTCTCACATTCATTTTAAGATATGGACACATTTGATCCAATCCCAGTATATACATTTATGTATAATATTTGTTTTTTATATATTTTGCCAGGGAAAAAGAAATAAACAAGAAGTTGAGTATAACATAAACATAAATTCCACAACTTAGAAAATAACACACTATTGAAGATTAAATAATTCTAAACATTTTACTTTTTTATATTATTATTTTACATAATAATTAATAATATGTATTTTTTTATTTCAATATAATAATATACATATAACATATATATACTATATTACTCAAAACATTCTACAGGGGCCCGTGCTCCTACGGGGCCATATGTAATTTGGCAAGAATTATGCTACTTAGCCAACCTCCATTACAACTTGGTTTACAACCAAGTGTAATGGAGGCATTAAAAAAATATAAAAAATACTTTTTTAATGCCTCCAAACACTTGGTTGTAAACCAAGTTGTAATGGAGGTTGACTATGTAGCATAACCCAATTCGGCAAATCACACCTTGCTAGGTGTGTCAGGGCCTTTTATAAAATATACCCCTCTCAAAAGCGCGTGAAATAAGGAGGTAAGATATTTTTTTTAAAAAAATGGGACATGTGTCTCATTTCTATTGGGTAATGAAATTCATATATCATATTATATAAATTAAATTATCATTCATATTTTGTATCAAAAAATATAAATAAAAATACCAAAATTCATAATTTTTCATTCTCTACAAATAGAGACCACATTTGATATTTTTTGGAACACAATTAATTTATCATTTTTTACAATTAATTTATCTTATTGGAAGATTATGACATAAATCTATAATTAGATGAATATGTTACATAGTAAGATGAAGATGTTATAGAGTAAGATGAATATATCATAAAATAAGATGAAAATGTTACATTTTCACAGATGAAATTTAGATGAACATGTTCTAAAATGAGATGACTTGTTACATAATAAAATGAACATGTTATAGAATGAGATAAACATGTTACATACACAATAAGGTGAACATGTTACATAATAAAATGAGCATGTTACATAATATAAATGAACATGTTATATAATAAGATGAACACATTACATAATAAAATGAACATGTTATAGAATAAGATGAACATATTACATACACAATAAGGTGAACATGTTACGTAATAAAATGAACATGTTATAGAATAAGATGAACATGTTACATAATAAAATGAACATGTTATAGAATAAGATGAACATGTTACATACACAATAAGGTGAACATGTTGTAAAATAAGATGAATATGTATTATTTTCAATATGCAATATGTAACATGTTCATCATATTTGAAAACATATTCATTTTATTATGTAACATGTTCATTCTATGTCAATATAATAAAATAATTACGAAAAAACGAAAAATTAGTTGTGTTCAACAACCTATCAAATGTGGTCTCTATTTATAGATAATGAAAAATTATAAATTTTGGTCTTTTTATTTTATTTTTTTAATATAAATAATTAATGATATTTTAATTTATGTAATATGTCTCATTTTTCAATTAAAAAAGAAAAAAATAAGAATGTGCACTACACTCTCCACATTTTCTTGTTTTTGGGGTGAGGGAGACGCGTGCAAAATTGTCCTGACACACCTAGCTAGCTAGGTGTGCCAGGGCACACGGTAGTACTACTGTATATTGATGGGAGATGTCACGTTTCAGTTACGAAATTATTCTGTTGGTATTTATAACATTAGATAATTATATAACTGTCGGGATAGTTGATCTAACGGTTACTTCTAAGGTATTGGTTCATAATGAGACCCTAGTATTTTTTTATATTCATAGGCTCATAATTTAGTTGAGGCGAAAGACGAGCGAGGCGGGTCATATATTTGATATTGAACTGTTTTATCTGCTTCCGCTTGTTTAACTATTATTTATCTCGTTGCCAGACTTCATTATTATTGATGTAGGAAATTGAACCATGTTAGAATATTTGTTTTAGAAACCAGACCATGTAGTTTTTTTAATTTCATATAAATATAATGACTTATATTTAAACATCGCTGCGTTAGTGTCAAGTGCCCCCTTCTCCCTAGCAGCCGACTAACTTAGCGTACCTCACCTACGTCGAGTTAGCCCGTTCCTCCGTTCCTCTCCTCTCGGAAACCTGCTCATTTCATTAGGCTACTACCCGTGCGGCCCTGCTGATTAGCAGTTCCTGCTAGCGCACTTCCCCAATACCCCCTTTCTAAACCCAACGCAGTTGTAGCATCTACCCTTTTCAATATGTATTTTTTATAATTGAATTAATTGACATAAATTAATTCTTACGAAAATAAGCAACAAATTAATTATCATGGACATCCCATGAATATATATTATGCATATCAGATAAGTAATATGCAAACTCTATAAATAAATATGATGCATATTAAAAAATTAGTAGCAATAAACATGAAAATAAATAATTCAGCTATTGTGGGCATTAATAACAATCCAAGAAAGATAAGAAAACTGGCAATACAGTCCATATTGGAACTGACTTTTCTATCAGTCGAGGACTTGTCACCTGTCACAACTCACATGTCAATCTTGTATGTAAATTTTTTGGGGGAAAGAAAAAACGCAACTTCCTTGCCAAAAATCTCGTCCGTAAAATCAATCTTGTATGGAAAAAAATCTAGCATCAGAACGTGCAGCCGGAGAAATTGCGGCGATTGATTTAACGTCAAGACTTTCGAGCTGGGTGGTTTCCTATTTGAACGACTGCAGATGCGGGTTGGGCAAGTGTTCAAGACAAAATCCACCACGATCAAGGCTTTCAGGCTAAGTGGTTGCTTGTTTGAACGACCCCAGTGGTTGGTTAGGCAAGTGTTCAAGGAAAATCCACCACGATCAAGGCTTTCGAGTTGGGTGTCGCTTGTTTGAACGACCCCATATGTGGGTTGGGCAAGTGTTCAAATCGAAATTCACCACGATCAAGGCTTTCTTATTGAGTGCTCGCTTGTTTGAACTACCCTAGTGGCGGGTTGTGCAAGTGTTCAAGGCAAAATCTACAATGACTAATTATTAGGTCACCTCATACAAGAAGTTGTGATATAAAATATATTAATTAGTAGAGTTAAATATTTTTTTATAAGATAATATATTCATAACTAATATAATTATTATTTATTTTAATTTTTAATTATTGTATATTTCATGTACAAAAATCGAAATCTACTTTTAACATATTATGATAGTAAAAAAAAAAAAAGTACATAAAAAGTATTAAATATTTTAGACCATCTAAATCTCCAACTTGGGCGTGATTATCTTCGCTGTTTAGGCGGGTGTCCAATTGTTGAACATAAAGAATGATTTCCACAAAATAATCTACTTCCTGAATGCCACCTAGCACGATTTACCTCATGTCTGCCTTCTCACTCTTATATCCCAAGTTGTCATCATCATACCTACGCTAGGGGCTTATGGGCCTCTCTCCTTCTCGTTCGGGCAATGTTTATCTTACTAAGACTTATGGGTGGCTATCCAAGGTGTCTTATAGATTGGGTCATCAGTTTGACCTTACCTAGTGGTAGGATCCCATATCGAGAAGGATTTAGCTAGAGTCAAGGTCCTTAGATGACCTGATGGTTGTGGAAAAAGATAGTGATTCGATCTTGTACAAACACGAAAACTTGGTTAATGAAGTCTTTCTAAAGAAAGAAGATTCTTATGATTAGAAAAATGAGATCCTATTGCATCAAAAGAGATCTCATTTAAGATTTGGTAAAGACTCATTGATATCATAAGTATTTTAAACGTTTTCCATATAATTACAAGGTACGTGTATGAGAACCTATCGTCATTTTGGTGTACAACTTTCGTACGCACTCTCATATAGAGTTGTTTTTTGGTTGGCCTGAACTAAGCATAGCTCACTTGCACTTCATACAAATGAAGCAACACCATTTTAATTAAATACATATTAACAACTTGGTTAACAAGAAGAATTGATCCCTATGTTAAACAACAAAACGATCCACTAGCAAAAAGGATAACTAACAATTTTAGTGGAAATTAAAATGAACTAATCGTTTTACATACTAACAACATTTATTTATTTATTTTGGCAAAAAATCAAACAATACACAAACCATTCATAAACCTAAAAAAAAAAAATAGAATCAATTTAAAGATAATGACAAAAAAACAAACCACAAACAACCAATACGAATTTAATTGTGAAAGATGTAATTTTCTTGATTGGCATAAACAAATTTAATAGACGAATTTTTTGTTTCTTATTACAAGATGTGAATACGAGGTTACAAAGAGAAAGGTAACATAAAAACACGAAGAAAATAGTAAAATTATGTTTACAACTTCATAGGCTCGAACAACAAACTTGGAATACGATATTTCATTTGAGGGAAGTGCATGCCATGGCCGTCTCCGTACTGGTACATATATTGTGCCATTCTCCCAAGTTCAATTGCAGCATTAACAAATTCTTTTTGGAATCCACAATTTGCCAGCACTCGTTCTTCGTTCATCTCCTTCCATGCCTCGTGTATTAGAAACCTAATGTATGCTTGTGCCTCGTCCACACTTGCACCAGTTTCGTTCATGTAACACTGGATTGCCTTTGGCACATCACCTCTTTTCATCTCATCCTAACAATTCAAATTAAAAATTACACACTAAAAAAAAAAAAGATGGGAAAAATTTGTTATGATTGTATGGTGTATGAATTTCGAGAAAATTGCAATTTTAGTCCAGTAACTTAGGTTGTTTCCCATTTTAGTCCACTAACTTAGGCCGATCCAAATTTGGTCCAAAAACTCTCAAAAGTTAGTCCGAAAACTTAGGTTGTTTCCCATTTTAGTCCATTAATTTAGGCCGATCTAAATTTGGTCCAAAAACTCTCAAAAGTTAGTTAAATCAGTCCAATTGATTGGTCAATTTCAGTCCAATTTTAGTCCAATTTTAGTCCAATTGGACTGATTTAACTAACTTTTGGGAGTTTTTGGACCAAATTTGGATCGGCCTAAGTTAGTGAACTAAAATGGGAAACATCCTAAGTTGTTGGACTACAATTGCAATTTTCTGTATGAATTTCTATTACCTAAATTATGAAAATCATTTTCTGTTGAACTACTACCCTACATTTGTACGCAAGAACACCCCCTAATTTGGTGGAGTTAATATATAATTAATGTAATAAAATACGATACACGTAATACAAACCGAAGATGTGCCGAGATCATTCGCAAGCCTTAGAATCATGGATGAGCATCGAACTATGTTGTGATAGTCGTATAAGCTTTGAATAGCCTCATTGTGTATAGGATACGTCACAAAAAAGTATGCATGGGTTAGTATGACAGGACCTGATATTGAAATCCATGCATTGTTGATATATTCTTGAAGTTTTGGTTTGTAGCCCATGGAGTGCCATGTTGCCTCTTGTAAATATGTTCGACATAAATCTGCCCACTGCAAAAGTGTTGGAAACGTATGTTAATTCTAGTCAAGTGTCTCGAACAATGGTAAAATACAGTCTATTTCTTGAATATATGATGACCGTCAAAAAATGTAAACCACCACACTATTTTCTATATATATAAGGATAAGTAACAGTGAGAATGATTCTTAATGAAAGAAATAAGAATGCATTACCGTCATAGAATCTGATAATCAAACAACAAAAGAGAAGTCAAATTACACTCATATAAGAGTATTTTGGACATTATCCCTACCCCACCCACACACCACATTCTCTCTACTCGTGATCCTCACCCCAAAATCAAATTCATCGCTACCGGCCGGCTCGACAGTGTGTTGTTGATGGTCTCGAGGTGGAGGGGTTTTCTTTGGGCTTAGGGTATCCATTTGAAAATTAGATAAGTCTTGGGTACTTATCTACAATTTTAAAGTTTTTAATATATTGCAATGTAATCTTTGGGCAAATACACAATTTCTCGAAAGTTTGATAACTGCTCATTAATGTAAAGTGAAATGCACATTATTACGTGTGAAAATGTACATTAAAGATACCATAATATTTTTATGAAATTACAAAATTGCTACTGCATGTACTTTTGAAAGTTCATAAATTTACCAAAAAGCTATCGGCTACATAATGCACAATAGTGTTCGACAAAATGCTCATTAATATATGTGAAAATGTACAATAGCGTCTTAGCTTATTTTACCCAATGACAAAAATGCCCCCACATGAAAAATCAAAAGTACTCAATAATACAAGAATGTCACCGACCCCTATGACCAGTTCTACAGCATTTGATCGGATCTGAATTGTTGATATATTACATCCAATGTTATGATTTACTTTCATTTTTTTCACTATCACTCATTCCCATCTAATTCTACTTATATATTTATATATATATGTATATATTAAATTCTTACTATTTTAGGTCGGCTGGTACTAAAACTTCATAAACAACCCTTTGAATTAGGGAAATGGGTTTCCCGTAAATAATTCTATCATGCCAGTTCTATCAGTTGTGTCAGATCAATCAATATGTGACTTATTTCCACTGTCAACCAACATGTACATATGCACGTCGGTTGGTAAGAATTTTGTTAAAATCAAGAATATCATGCATTAGTATTGAAAAAAAAAAAAAAAGAATTATCACCGATTTTCTCAAATGTGGAAGGGCGAGAAACCCCTTTTCTTTAAAAATATTGTATGCCGCCTCATCGACGAAGTTGTCGAGTGCAAGAAAACATATTTGCATATAGTCTGGGAGTTCGCCTATTGCTTCAATGTCCCACCTGAACACGATCGAACTAACAAGAGTGAGTATCCCTTAATTTATATATAAACTAGAAAATTACGATCAAGTTGTAACACAATGCAGATAAAAGATGCAGTGATCTTGTATCATGCGTACCTCTGAATTGCATTGTTAAAGAGTTGTAGTTCTTCTACAGTAGCATAGACATCAAACATATCATCGATTATGGTTATTAAGGCGTTGAATTTGGCGGACATAATTCTTGCGTATCCATTTTCGACATTGTACATGCCACTAGTGGCCCAGAAATAACACTCCACCAGTCTGTCCCTCGCAAATGGCATCTTTTGTGTTAGGCGTGTTTGCTCCCACCACCTATGAGCAAACAAACAAATAATCAACTCTTGTCATAAGCAAAAATAAAAAATGAAATAAAAAGATGCCCTTAACTGAGCGTTTTCATACATAAAAAAAAGATTAAAAATAAAAAAAAAAGGTCGAAAATACTATAGGAGACTACCAACAACCTTTATACATCAATTTTTAGTTTATGGGAATTAGTATTCATTTTAAATTAATAACCTGGAGAGTCGTTTTAGTTCCCTTTGATGGGTTGCTTGCACAATGTTGAAGTCTAATTTGGCAAGTTCAAGCACAATTGGATTCATATCTGGCTTGATTTCGTAGGAATTTATGAACCATCTTGTATTTGGCCTTTGAACCCTCCAATGAAGTGGGAGCTCCAAAGCTTTGCGCACTAATATGGAAAGATGTTTATCCATGAATATTCCCTGATCAATACCTTCATTTTCAATTTTTTTCTTGAGATATTTGGTGGAAAATTTTATTGCTAGCTCCAACGTATCCTCGCCTCGCATCAACAAGAAAGAAGCTTTGTATAGCTGTAACAATCCTTTTGCATCATCACCGACGTTCGTCTTGAATTCACCATTTTCATTCTTGAAACGATCAAACACTTCTGCATGAATGCAATACACAAAGAAATTCGGACTTGATTAGGTTAACGAAACACGTGTCATGGATCAATATATATATATATATATATATATATATAATAAGTCCGAAATCTCCCAATTCATGATAAATTTATTTTTTTTGTATCTTAATTTGACTTCTCGAACACTATTGCAACCAATCCATTTAGGGGGCGTTTACTTTGCTGGACGGGGTTGGATAACTAAAATTGTCACCCTATATCTTGCGTTTATTTAAATGACTGGGATAGGACTAATCCCAGTTGGCACGCATGTGGTATGCGGGTTCCACACGTGTATATATCAATGATTCGCTGATAAATGAATCCCGCTCTGACGCTCAGATTTTTTTATCCTATTAAAAAAATTTACCATTTTGCCCGGATCTTTAATGATTTCGCGAACTGAGTGTAGAGGTGTTAAACAAAACGAGTCGCTTGTAAGGTCGGCTCGACTCGAATTCGACTTGATTCGTTAAAACTCGAAAAATAAGAATTTTTATATACTTTTATATACTTCGGCTTGGTAAGGTTCGAGTTCGGCTCGTTAATATTGATAAAATGAGCTGAGCTCGAGCTCAATTGCTGGCTCGTTTAGTTAACGACTCGAGCTCGACTCGGTTAGCTTGTTTGCAGCCCTAACTAACGTAGCGGATTGGAGGTTTTTTTTTT